GGTTCCAATTTGTGGTAGTCGCGTAATAGGCATGCACAGGGGCCATGAGTGTCATCACAGCTGCCGTCCCAATGCGGTACTAGCATGAGACTGGAATGAGTTCAGCCCCACCATCGAATGCTATCTAATGAACACCTGTTTTACGACCTTGATCTTCGTCCAAGCCTGTTGGCCTTTCCCACATCCTCTTCCTTCGACTTTGGAATGCAGGAGGGAGGACGTGGAGTGATTCCGGCGAAAGGGAAGCTCATGGGTCAACGAATATGGAGGAATCGACCCACTTCGTGCTTCGATACACCAACTGGGACACCAGCCTCTCCGCGCTTCTAACCGACTCATGTGTTGAAGAGTGCGGCCGCCCCCTGCCGGAAAGATTGATGATTCGCACGTTTCGCTTGTGCCACAAGGTGCCGCACCAGTAGGAGCGACTCTGGCTGGGTGAGTTGGGCTCTTGCCATAGCTCCGTCAGGAACTTCAGCATGACACAGATCAACGTAGGTCAGGAAACGAACCTGGCCCATCGCCGGAGACACGCCGCCTTCACTTTCTCGAACAGACTCCGAGCAACTCAAACCCCCTCCCGCACTACAANTCCGAGCAACTCAAACCCCCTCCCGCACTACAAGGGAGCACTCAACACGTGGTGCAACTGGAGCACGGCCAAGTCTGTGGGGCTCGCCGCCCGAAGCATTGACATATGGCACGTCTGGACTCCGTCCGGGCTGTTTCCCCCCTCCACCCGAGACGAGACCAATTATGCCCCCCGTTCCATGAAGAACTTTGAGCAATTATCCTTTCCATGGTTGCTCTCCCCGCCAGAGCTTTTCCACCTTCTTGAACAGCTCAATCAGCAGCACCGTGTTGGGGTACCTGAGGGTGGGGGGGGTGCAAGGAGGGCAGTGTGCACGACACCGACAGAACAACTAGTGTGAGAGTGATCGGTCCTCATGGCGGTGCAAATGCTCTTCGCTCAATGCAAACACACCCTACTTGGTTTGAAAAAAAGCAAGCATGTCCCTTGCACTGGGCCATAAATGCGCGATTCCCACATAGTTGCGCATGCTCTTTCGTCATCCCCGGAATTTTTCCTGAGATGTGTGATGGATAAGTTTGGAGGTTTGTAGTGGACGTGAAACAACTGAACCTACGTATCAACACGTCCATGCTGCACCGCGCATTACCAACGCCCAGGGAACCAGTCCGCACCTTGATGCGAAAAACAAATCCAAGTGATCTATTTGCATTTTCCATT